ATCTTGGATGTATGTATAATACATTCATGTACGCATTAGTTGTTCGCATCGGCCACAATAAATTCCAAACGAGCAGAGTCCCAGGCAGCAGAATAAAATCAGTGGTTGGTAAAAATGCTGATCTGGACAGCAGCGCTGGTGGTTCGAACTCGGGCTTGAGGGTGAGTTATAAACCGCGCGACATCCTCCGTGTCGTTACACCATACCGCTTTCATGCCTCATTCCGGACCTGAGTGTTACTTGCAATTTAGAAATTTGTTGAAAGAAGCACACAGCGGCACCTTGATTCGAGCAAGGACCTCGGGTTGAATTGGTGTCCTGCTCGCACAAGAAGTGCCCGTGTGCATCATTACACCATGCTGCTTTCATTACTGCATTTTGAGCCTGGCCGAGTGCGAGGGAAAATAGTGGGATGAGCCAAAAAAACCACAGAGGAATGCCCAAAGCAGTACCTCAATTCGAACAAGGACCTCGGGTTGAGTAGGCGTTTCTTTTGGCTTAAGAATAACCCATGTGCATCATTACACCATACTGCTTTCATTGCTGCATTTTGAACTCAGCTGAGTGGGGAAGCAAATTTGGTGGGAGGAGCAAAAATCACACCAACACCGATAGAGCAGTACCTTGATTCAAACAAGGACCTCGGGTTGACCCAGTTTGCTAGAGGCACAAGAATAGCCCGTGTGCATTGTTATACCATACTGCTTACCATTGCAACATTATGTCGATGACTGAGTGCAAGAAAAAAGGACTAGGTAGAAAACAAAGCCACCAGCGAAAGTTCAGAGCAGTACCTCGGTTCGAACAAGGACCAGGGCCGACAATATCATTAAGAGAGGAGTCAAGGACAATGAAGGCCCGCGTGCAACAATACACTATACTGCTGATAATATGCTGACTGGACAGAAGTCGAGGATTTTGTGCGTAATTAATTTTGTGAAATGACTTGGAGAGGACAGGGTTGAGCTATGTAGCACATCCATATCGGTCTGCTATCAGCTCCTCACTACTGCTTAGCCAATTCCCCAAGGGCACACGAATCTCTGGCACCAATATAGCTCTCAACCCCGGCGTAGTCTGAATATAACAAAATAATAAGTATTGCGCACGGAGTCCCATAAGATCACTCACCTCCACTGTGGTACCCAGGGCACGAACCAGGCCGCTGCATCTCGCACGTGGCGGCTGCACCCGATCCAACCTCTTCGCCAGAGATCCAGCTTCCGTGCAATCGGCAAAAATACCCGCGGCCACAAGGACACTTCAGAGCTCCCCACTGTTGGTATTCTACCGCCCAGGCATCGTGCGCGTCCTTCAGACTACCACTAGCAGACTCAGGCTCAGGGCGAGGGAGGACATGGAGGCTGGGAAACATCTGGCGGATGTTGGCTTTGGTGGCTTTGCAAGCTTTCGGACACTTCAGAAATGTCGTTGGTGAGTGTTGATTACGAAATACTAGATAGTTGTAATCCCAGATACGAACCGGTTGAGGTTGTGTCGCTTGTTTGCTGTCCTGGACTTCGATGTGTCCCGCATGTTCTGAGCCACAGTGACAACTTGCCATACTGGAGCTTGTAAGAAGTCAAAACGGAAGTATCACACTTATATATTTGCTCATAGGAGGAGCTCGTAATGCTGACGAACAAATATCTGCCGCACGGGCCCGTCGGGTAACCTGCGGATGCCGGATTTGGTGAATATTTCCGTTTCGTTCAGTTAAGGATTTCATAAAACTTTGTTTTACGTGAGACTACCGATATTAATGAACAGACCAAATGGAATCCTTGACCAAACGAAACGGAAATATTCACCAAATCCGGCATCCGTTTTCATAAAACCTTTTTTAGAGTCTAACTACGTGAGATAGTACCGATATGAATGAGCGGAACAAAGATATTATGCACACGGGGGGCTTTAATGCATCATTACACCATGCTGCTTTCATTGCTGCATTTGAAGCCCGGCCGAGTGCAAGGAAAAATAATGGAACGAGCCAAAAAACCAGAGAGCAGTCTCCAAAGCAGTACCTCGATTCGAACAAGGACCTCAGGTTGAGTGCTGCATTTTGAACCCGACCGAGTGCGAGAAACAATAGTGAGATAGGCAAAAAGACAGAAAGGGGAGGGGCGAAAGCAACACCTTGAGTCGCACAAGGACCTCGGGTGAATGCGGTGGAATACTAACTGAAGTATGCCCCATGTGCATCCTTACACCATACTGCTTGCATTGCAACATTTTGTCGATGACTGAGTGCAAGAAAAATTGGTAATGTAGATTCAGAGCAGTACTTCGGTGCGAACAAGGATCTTCGGCAGACAATGTCACTAGAAGAGGAATCGAGGATAATGAAAGCCCACGGGTAACAATACCATATTGCTGATAGTATGCTAGTTGGTGACCGGACAGAGTCGAGGATTTTGCGTGTGATTTTGTGGAATAACTTGGAAAGAACAGGGTTGATCGGTTTCTTTAAAAATTCTGACGAAGGCGAATGGGTTTTCAAAATCTCAGCAGTAGACAAACGCAGATTTTATCTGGACTGCTGTCAACCGTGGGCCCGATCGCGGGATTAGCCGTGGCTTGGCACACGCTTTCACTCTGTTTATTCGACGACGTTTATGCATCTCCCTCGCAAATAATACCTCCTCAGCGGAATGCACGCACAGCTCAAGACCTGGCAGCGCGTCGGACGCGCTGGCGCCTGACGCCGCGCGCACTTGCACGCAAGGTGCACACTGCACAGTCAACTCGGGGATGGAACAGTGAGGGCGGGGGCGGGCCTTTTTGCGGCTGCTGCTTGTTTTCTCTCCGCTCCGCTGCTGCTGGTGCCCTCCCTCCGCCTCGCCCTCACCGTCCTCGCGACGCTGGCCCTCTTCTCATCCCTGCTCTCCTCCAAGAAGGCGCTGCAGACCCCCGTCCAGCTCGAGGAGCAGAGTGCCACGTCACCCCCCCCTTCCCCCCCCACAGCGGCGTCCAAACCCCGCCGCTCCTGACTCCCCTCTCGCGGGAGACCCTCCCCCTCACCGCAACGCTTCCCATCACGCTCTCGCCCCCGCCCCCGCCCGCAATGCGCGGCCGCGGCGTCGGCCTCACCCGCCCCGAGGCCGCCCGCGTCCGCGCATCGCACCGTCGAGTGCCCCCCCGCTGCGATATACGAGTCTCAGACGCCCGTGTCCATGGCTAAGATGATCATGAGTCGCCATGTGCGTTGTTTCCCGCTTCCCTCTTTGAGTGCTGTACTGAGACAATGATGTATAAAGACATTCCGCCGTCCCTCCCCCGCGCCGTGCCGCGCCTCCTCCCTGCAGCACCAACAACACTCGCGCCCGCCATCGCCCCCGCTCGCGGGCAATGGCCGCTCTGTGTCGCTGTAGCCTCTTCCACCGCCCACGCCTACTAGAGGCTCGGAGGCGAGAGGCATAGAAGGGAGAAAGCAAAACCGCAATGTACCACCATACTCCTCATCATCAACCCATCATCACTCGGGCAGGACGCGACACCGCACTGTCGGAGCGCACCCACGGACTTGTTTTTATCGCCGTTATTGTTATATCTTTTGTTCTCCACCCCATTCTTATTTCATGTCCCATACGCCTTTATTTTTCTTTGCTACGTCGCACGCATGTCACCTTACTATACCCGATGCGCGCTTTTTATTACCCTTATTATCCCTCATGTATGCCTCCACCTATCCATCCCACTACTACTCACGCTTACGTTTACCTAGTATACGCTTCGACTGCGCTTCGCTTCGTTTGTGACGCTCACTTTTGCGACGCGGCTACGTAGTGTTGCATATACGCTTACGCTTCGCTTCGCTCCCAGTGCACGTATGCATAGATAATGGATTGAGTACGATCGGGTTTCTTGCCGTCCTATACCTCGGTGTGCGTTTGAATCCAAGTATTGTAAGATAAGACGTAGAGAGTAATGTGATGGCCCCCGAGTACGCGTCATGCGTCATGCGTCGCCCTGAATCTGCCACAAAAAAAAGACGCAGGAAAGAAGAAAAAGCCAGCGAAAATGGCCCAGAACTAGCGTCGTCTGATAGCTCACCGGAGGACGTTGCCAAAACGCAGATGCAGAACCACTCTGCCACTGGGCCGTTCAACAGGTAGGTCTTCGCTCTCTGAGGATACGGGGATCATGACAAGCTTCGAGGCAGCACCGTACGTGGGCGGAGCTGCTGCCTACCATATTGCGCGGGCGGAGCCAGCGCCGTTTTGCGCGAGAGGTCACTGGTGGGGAGGAAGTGTGTACTGTAGAAGAAGGAATAAACAAGTGATTGAATAAAATAAGCAAAAAAAAAAATTGGGAGCTTGCAATCGAATGGCCCAGGCCGGAGTCGAACCGGCGCCGTCTGCATACCTTCACTCCAAATTTCTGGATATTAAATGCAGATGCAGAACCACTCTGCAACTGGGCCGTGCTAGAATATATTTGGGAGATATAGGACCCGTATAAGAAATGCGGACCAGGGGCCGCCTAGGAATTCACGGACAGGCTGCCGTTGAGGATGATAACGAAAAAGCAAAAAAAAAATTTGAGGAAGATATTCATAAAAAAGAAGTGCTGACAGCCAATGGCCCAGGCCGGCGTCGATATATGCATAAGCACTTCGCGGCATCTGAGTTTTAGTTTGGTAAAGCAGGCGAAATAAACTAATGCGGAATAAGACTCCAAGAGAGCATAAAAAAAAGCTTCTGCGTCATTGGTGAGGGCCCAGGCCAGATTCGAATCAGCGACATCCACACAGAGCTTAGGAATGATATTTCACAAGATACAAATGCACAGTCACTGTGCCACTGGGCAATGGGACCATTTTTTTGAGGATATCCTCCTACATATTCGGAGATAAATGATTAAAAGCGGTAAAATTGAAGAAATACGCCAGCATAATAGTGGTAGTACATAATTGAGCGAAGAAGATATAATAGAAGCAGGAGAGGTCATGAAGGAAAATGAAATGATGACAAAAAAAAGGGTATAATGTGCCATCAGAGCCCAGGCTGGAGTCGAACCAACATGATCTATAAGATCTGTTCGCTTTATCAACAAGAAGCAGACACATACCACTTTGCCACTGGACCTTGCCTTATACGTCTATTTAAAGATCTGATATGTGCAGTGTGTATAAATGAATTTGACCAAATATGTACGGTCTGCACAAGCAGAACGCGAGCTGGGATTTATTTTCGTGGCTAGACATTGATATTGCGCACTCAATATCAGTGCCTAGAGCGCTCAATATTAATGCCTAGCCACGAAAATCTGATCAACTCAACATGCTCAATATTGAGCATGTTCAGCAGATTGAGAGTTAGGAAATAAGAAAACGGAGTGAACAAGGAGAATAGGAAGAGAAGAGCTGAAAGTTGAATGGAGTCGAACCAGCGTCATCTGCATAAATAGATTTATGAGCACTCGGGCGGTAAATTCAGATGCAGGAACCGCTCCGCAACGATATTGTTTCGGCCGAGACCTGAGCTCAGAACGTCAAGTGAACATTGGATGACTCTGAGGAGGCAGCTCATGAGTCGTAAGGAGCATGTTCAGTGGAGGTTGAAGTTCAAAAAAATGTCGGGAGATTTGAGAAAGGAAACTATAACCTGCTGGAAAGTGGGCCACCCCCGGCCATATACAACTAGCCAGTTGCTTTCTGGCATACTTTGTGATTGGAGCAACCTTGGACCCCCGTTTGTACCAAGTTTGATGGCGGGATGACGTTCGGCCCGCAAGTTATGGCATATTTGACAGCCAAATATTGTCGTGGGAACCGTACCGCTTAGCGGCGCCAGCTTCCATCGTCTCGTTCTCTGCGAGTTCTTTACCAATTCGGGACTTCTGGGGCTTATTATGTTCGCTACAGCACACCTAAAACCAGAAACTTCCGACTTGAAAAAATGGAGCGTTGAAAGTAGTACTACTGGACATCATTTCAACTGGCTGGAAAGTTAGATTTTCTATCAACTGGAAACAAAGATTTTTTTTGAAAAGTGAAAGGACGGCGGAAAGTTGAGCATTCAACTGAGGTGAAAGCAGCAAAGAAAGAGGTATGTTTAGTTTTCCCAGAAAGTTGAGCATTCAAAGGCGAAAGTGGTAAAGAAAGAAGTATATCTAGTTTTTCCGGAAAGTTGAGCATTCAACTAGGGTGAATGCGACAAAGAAAGAAGTACTTGTAAGAAAGGCTAAATATAGTTCTTTCTTTGCCGCATTCACTCCAATTGAATGCTCAACTTTCCGCCGTCCTTTCACTTTTCAAAAAAAATCTTTGTTTCCAGTTGATAGAAAATCTAACTTTCCAGCTAGTTGAAATGATGTCCAGGAGTACTACTTTCAACGCTCCTTTTTTTCAAGTCGAAAGTTTCCGGTTTCAGGTGTGCAGGCTGTCGTTTCATTTGAATTGTTCGCTGATGTGACACACCACTCATTTTAGGTCACTTTACCCTCCCCAAAGTAGGCTTAGATGTTCTGTGAGCCTTACATTGGCCACTCTGCAGTGGGTAGACCCTGAAGGCTACAAGTTTACCCCGGCACACAAAGATTAAGGCGACAGATTTAATGGACTGTGAGCAATCGCCAATATTTATTTTGGCTGATTTGGTGCTGTGTGGCTGTGATTGCTGCAAACCAGATATCATCTGACATTGGAATCTGCAGATTTTTTGTGGACCCCCTAGGCGTGAATATTCCGCTTCAGTACTGTGGATATATATATTGTATGAAACTGCTCAATGAATATTTTGGTCCCCCCAATGCACATCAGGGATGTATTAGCCGCAATTCATCAATCAGCATGATTTTCGACAACATGCACAGCGGAGAAGTTAATATTGCTACCAATACTACTCGCGCTACCAAGAATTTGCATATGTTAGACGGTGTATTGGTTCCCCCTTCATGTATCAAAGCGGTTTCGTCGCAGTTATCAATGGAAAAATACACGATTTGGCTGCCTGGTCCGCTTCCTGATATTTACCTCTTTTGGACTGCCGCCGAAAATAAATTTCTGAGGCCTCCACCAACCCACCACAAATCGGCCAAAAATGCCTCACAGGTCCATAACATGCCTATCCTCGATCCCAGGCACACAAAGCCCCATTTTTAAGGTGTGTGAATGCCGCTATTCACTGATTTCTCTAGCGTGATATAGTATGGCTTGGGCTGGAGTTGAACCAGCGATGTCTCCATAAACTCAAGATAACTCAGCTAGTAAATGCAGATGCAGAAAACCACTCTGCAACCAAGCCTTCACACAATTACGTCGGTCCTTCCCTGAACTTGGACTCAATAGAAACAAATTTTAAATTTTAAAAAAGTAGCTCTCATTCCAGTCTGAGACTCCCGTCTCTTTCTCCGGGGGTCTGATACTCTAGGATGTGTGAGAGATGAGAGAGAAAAAAACAGATCTCTATACACCTTATGGCTCGGGCTGGAGTCGAACCAGCCATGTCTGCACAGATCCGACCATTCCCCAACATTTAATGCAGATGCAGAATCACTTTGCAGCGGAGCCTTCATGGTATCATTTTGACCATACCCAGGGCACCTGAAAAATGCATGTCCTTTGCTCACGAAAATTAAAAATTAAATGAGACCCTGTGCATATGAATCAAAGAATTAGTGGCAGGAGTGAACTGTTTCTTTTCAGAGGCGAGATGACTTGATGGCATCTGATTCACGGCATGAAATCTACAAAGAAATTGATTGAAAAGGGAGGAGAAAAGTGACAAGGTTTTATGGGGATGGCTGAGGCTCGAGTCGAACCAGCATGCACAAAACTAAGCTGGTAAAGAACCGCTTTGGCCCAAAGCCTCGATGGTGCTACTGCGGTCACTCGAAGCTCTAGCCTACGAAAAAATACAATTTTCTGGTGAAAGTCCTTCATCCGAGCCAGAGAATCGCCCTCCTTCTTCGGGAATTCCATGCTCACAAGAAATGGTTGGAAATGGATTGAGATTGAAAGGAGGGGGAAAAAAGTAGGTTGTTTTTTGGCGGATGGGTCACGCTGGACTCGAACCTTGCTCGAACCAGCAAGAACATGGCGGGAGCGGGAGCAACGATCATGCAAGAACTATGATTAATTTTGGATTTATGTATAATAGATTCATGTACGCACCAGCTGTTCGCATCGGCCACAATAAATCCTGTATAACCAGAGTGTTAGGCGAAATTAAATTAGTGGTTGGCAAAAATACTGATCTGGACAACAGCGCACCCCGGTTCGAACTCGGGCTTGAGAGTGAGTTATAAAGCGCACGACATCCTCCCTGTTGTTACATCATGCTGCGTTCATTGCACATTCCGGACCTGAGTGCTAATTTCAATTTAGAATTTGTTGAAGGAGGAAGAATCCGGAAGATGCAGACAGCAGCACCTTGTTCGAACAAGGACGTCGGGTTGAATTGATTTCCTGCTCGCACAAGAAGTGCCCATGTGCATAATTACACAATGCTGCTTTCATTGCTGCATGTCGAGCCCGGCCGAGTGCAAGGAAAAATAGTGGGATGAGCCAAAAAACTACAGAGGAGTGCCCAAAGCAGTGCCTTGATTCAAACAAGGCCCTCGGGTTGAACCGGGTTTCTTGCTCGCATAAGTGTCCGTGTGCATTGTTATACCATGCTGCTTTTATTGCTGCATTTTTTCCCGGCTGAGTGCGGAAGGAAATTTGTTTGGAGAGGAAAAAGAAAGAGCAGCACCGTGATTCGAACAAGAGCTTCGAGGTGGAAGCGGCGGAATAGTAACTGAAGTATGCCCCATGTGCATCTTTACATCATACTGCGTCCGGTGCAACATTTTGGAATAGTCGGGGTAGAAAACAAAGCGATCCAAACGTAGATTTAGAGCAGTATCTTGGTACGAACAAGGACCTCGGGCTGACATATCATTAGGAGAGGAGTCAAGGACAATGAAGGTCCGCGTGCACAATACACCATACTGCTAATACTATGCGAGTTGGTGACTGGGACGGAGTCGAGGATTTTCTGCTTGAATGACTTGGAAAGGACAGAGTTGAGTTGAGCTTCTTGAAAAATTCTGAGACATGCATGTATATGTTCAAGTTGTAAGAACAGGTTTAACTTTGTTTCGAAGGCGACTAGGCTTTCAATATTTCATTAATGTAAAGTTAGACAGACGCTGATTCTACCGGAAACTCAACTCGGTTGAAAGCGATACTAAACCGTGGGAACAAAATGACGCAGAGGTGACGATGTTTCCTCACTTTCCCTTCGTTTATTCGACGACGTTAATGCATCTCTCCCTCGCAAGTAATGCCTCCTCAACGGCATGTCCCCGCAGCTAAATACCTGGCAGCGCGTCGGACGCGTTGCCGCCTGACACCGCGCGCACTTGCACACAGTCAGCTCGGGATGGAGCAGTGAGGGCGAGGGCAAGCCTTTTTGCGGCGAGCGACCTTTCGGGCACACTGCCGCTTGTTTTCTCTCCGCCTCTCTGCTGCTGGTGGCCTCCCTCCGCCTCGCCGTCACCGTCCTCGCGACGCTCGTCCTCCTCGCAGCAATCCGCGCAGTCCTCTCGCCCCTCCTCTCCGCCAAGAAAGGCCTGCAGACGCCAGTCCAGCTCGAACAGGCAACTGCCACGTCACCCCCCACACCGGCGTCAAAACCCCGCCGCTTCTGACTCCCCTTGGAGCGCCGTTTACATTCTCCGGCGACAGGCTGGAGCATGGAACGCTGACGGAGACATGTTGACTAGCCGCCATGGATATTAGGGAAAGTGTTCATTTTGACAGGTGCCCGTCATCCCCTACATGGAGCTATTTGTTCGATTATACATTTTTCCCCTTCATACCGTAGAGTGACAGCCTGGATGGACGGTTGGGGGGGGGGACCACGGGTCACCCGCACCTCAGGCTGGCCTGCCAAAGAAAAACAGCCTTGTACAATTTGAAAGTTGGCATAGAGTTGAACATTCGCGTGCTGAACTTGAAGCAACGAGTGACTGAATCTCAGAAAGAATTGCAACTATCTGAGTCGTCGGCCGGCGAAGCCGCTAAGCCTGATTCTCGTTCTTTCTTCCTCCAACTTGGAGTTACGATGCACCGCCGCCGGCTTCTCATGATCACCCGAGG